GCTATGTAGTTAGCTAGTGTTTTGCTAAAATTAGCTAACTAATTTAAGATGTAAGTATATACACACAAGGGTAAAAAAGTTCAGTTTTTGGACCTCAGCAGCAACGTTTTTGAAACACTCCTGCTTGTAAACATGTAGCTATCTTAACGCTAAGAAAACAGGACTGAAGGTGTTAAAAAGCATTAAAAAAAACAGCAAAAGGATATGTGAAGTGTCGCTTTTAACTTTTCAAAATGTGGTTGTCCTTTCAACACAGATTAGCCTAGCATATAGCACATCTAAGTACAGGAAAGGAAGAAGTTAGTGACCAAAACTGTTACTGGAGCACAGACCAAAAAGGGGCGGGACTTAGGAAGGGTCAACTGTCAGCTATTGGATAAAGCAGAAATGGACCAAAAGGCCTTTATTTAATAAATCAGTTTGAATACTGTAACAGGGATGTTGACACAGCGATCACTCCGGTCTAAATGTTTGAGTTGATGGACAGAAGTGAAGGAACCCAGGAGAGGATGTGAGATATGAACAGACAGGTGTCTTTATGAAACCACTGCACCCATGTGACACTTATATTATGATAAATACGACCGCGGGGACGTTATGAGGCTATAACGAGACTCCATCTTCCTGTGAACGGCCGTGATGTTGGCTCGAGTCTTGACTTTTAAACATAAACACTGATTTTGCAGCGCAGCCTCCCAACAGCATGGTTTCATTTGGACCTTGACAATCTGTCAGTGGACACTGGTGATGCACGCACGCACACACACACACACACACACACACACACACTTCCCGTCTATGATGAAGAACACACACTCCTCCAGCATAAGACAAACACAGCTGGCTCAGATGTCTGTGTGTGTGTGTGTGTGTGTCATATGGATGGAATGTATAGAGACTCAAAGCTAATCTGCCTCTCGAGCTAAACTCGTGCTGAACTTCAGAACACGCGTTTCGAGAAAGAGACGAAACCAACCGCACATCACGCAAACACCTTCGTATAAAAGCACAGCGGGGGAGATAAACGCGGCGGTCTGGAGCTTCAGGGGGAAATTACCTCGTAGTTTTCTGTCTTCTGACGTTTCTTTCTCCAGCCTGCGTGTGTGAAACCTTTCAGGACTTTAAACAGTTCAACAGTTTTGGGATTTATGCTCGTTTACTGTCGTGAGAGTTAAATGAGAAGATCCGTTCAGTGGTACTAGAGCAGGGAGGTTGATTAACTTAGCATATTAGCATAAACACTCCTCCCTAACAACATAGTCTTGTTCAGATTAAACACATTTGAAGGATCAGTGTGTTGGCTTTGGTGGCATCTAGCGGTGTACTTGATCAACCAACAGTCTGAATCCCAAAGATATTGAGTTTACAATCATATAAAACAGATAGAAGCTGCAAATTCTCACATTTAAGGAGCTGAAATTTGTGAAACATTTAAAGTTTTTGCTTGATAAACAACAAATAACCAATTAATTTAGGGTTTTGTTATACTGTTCTTTAAAATCCTGCTTTATACACCTTTGTGTGTATGAATGTTGCCGTAATGAGGGTTGCCGGTTCAAGTCCCACAGACCACAATACGGAGTGTGGACTGGTGGCTGGAAAGGTGCCAGTTTCACCTCATGTGCACGGCTGAGGTGCCCTTGAGCAAGGCAACCAAGAAACAGCGCTGCTAACGTGTTAACAATTTCCCCAATAGGGGATTAATAAAGTACATATCTAAATCTAAATCTATCTATAAAAGACGACTAATTCTTGTTTTTTGTGATTTTCAAGGAAAAACCACACCGCCAACATGCACCCAATAGTGAAGAAAAGAAGTCAAAACTTTTCATTGTGTGTCCAGTGAGCTCTTCCAACTGACATTAGAGAGACAGAAGAGTCAATATTCATTCATCACATAATTGTAAACATGTTTGGAAAATGCCGTTATTGCGCTGCTGTATATTCCCTCTGAATCACGTCTGCGTGGTGTCGACACACTGTACTGTTTAGACAGTCGGATTAGTGGAGGATTATTTTATAGTAAACTTGGAGGTGCGACAATACATTATGACCCATTTTGACACAGTGTGTTTATTTCCAGCAGGGCCGGTGTGAGTCAGTTACTGGCACTATCTGAGTATTCGGTGAAATTAGTCCATTTTACAAGGACAAAGTTATTGTTCCTTTTACTTCAACTTTCCAAATCAAACGCACATGGTGCTTGGAAAGCACCACAGATTACATAAAAAGTCCGGCACTGACTCCGTAATTGGCAGGTGATGGTGACGGTGACGTTACGTATGTGAGCGCAGCTTGTTTCCCAAAACAAAACGACAGAAAAAGCTTCAAAAAGGCGTTATGGCTGCGTAACATTAACATATTATTGTCAGATTAATTGTAATGTGCTGTTATAATTACTATACGCAACTGAGGCCACGGTGGATTGTTAGGGTGCACAGCATTAAGAGCACATAAAGCTTTTCTGGCTGCATAAATAAACCCTGTTCTTTTACCCATAATACACAGCGTTTAGGTCCCGACTGCTTTGTTTTGCTCTTTTCTTCCACGTTCCAATAAAATAAGCTCCGCCACAGTTGGGAATATCTCCTCTAATTGAACGAGGTGCGAAAATGTTCAAGGATTTAGGAAAAGCTGGACGATGACGGTTGTTTTTAATGTGCGAGGCCATTGTCCACTTTCCATTAAAATGTCAACAGATTCTCCAGTTAAAGTTCACTTAAGACTTTCCCACCAAACTCGCTGAGCCCCGGGTCGAAACCTGAGAACACCACAGGGTCAACTGTGGATCTGTAGCAGCTGCACCTGTATATATACACACACACA